TTCGTCCCGAGGAGAACCGGGGCGACCTTTGACCCTCTTCGGAGCCCCTCCCTCCCTGGGGGTTCCCAGCCCGCGTGGCAGACGTCTTGGACTACAGCTCCCATCCTCCCCAGCCGCTCTGACGGTGCTCCCAAGGGCTCTGGACTACAATCTCCATTCTCCCCGGTCTACAAGCCCTATCCTCCCCGGCGGCGCGGCCCTCACCCTCACAGTGCCCGAGACTGCGACGCCCATCATCCCCTGCCGCCGTGGCCCCGCTGAGCGCATCCCCTGCCACCGGGGGCCGCCCCCTGAGTGGGCCAGCCCCCTCCCAGCCAGCCGAGGGTTGGTTGGTTTGGGTATATGCTTATTTCAAGATGAAATAGTTCAGCTCAGAAAGCGTGACTCTGGGCGCCGGACAACATAAACGCACCGGAAAACCGTAATTGTAAAAAACTAACAACCCCGAAGCCAAAATGTAAAGTGGTAGCCAGGCACAGAACAAAACGGACTCCCATTCAACCGACCCTAACGCCTGGGGGAAGGGCCAGCTCTTAAGGGCTTTCCTGAAGGCGAGGAGAGCTGGGGCCTGTCGTATGGGGGGGCAGGAGAATCATTCCAGAGAGCGGGGGCCACCACAGAAAAGGCCCCTTCCTGAGTCCCATAAGACGACAAGACTTAAAAGAGTCTGTATCTCCTGAGAATTAGACGTTCAGCAGTGTCTGGCAGGCCGCAGCTCCTCCTCCTTGCGCAGTTCATTCCACTTTGGGGCAGTGCGTGTCTGATTATCCTCTTTCTGTTATGCGCTTTCCCCTTCAAATCTTAGCCCAGTTCGTGTGAGGTTTGTGAAGGGAATCATGTTTGATATGGTGTATCAGAACTTAGTGACTGAGATGTGAGAGAGACGGTGCAGGTCCTGAGCAACACACATTCAGTACTTTCGTTCCATCAGGATCCAGGCTGTGTTTGCACCTTCAGCATGCTCTGAGGATGCACTGAGAACAGTCCTACAAGCATACCAACTATGTCAATATTCTTCTGACAAAGCCAATATTCTTTCCTACTCCCATCTGTTGGAATTTAGGAATCTAGAGGCCAGTGGGGCACTGTGGGTCATTGTGGTGTCCCTCACTCAGTGAGAGAAACAGGATATGGAGTACTTTGCATTCAGGGTCCCTCTGTCGATCTGCATTTCCCCTGCCACAGTTTGGTTTAGAATCTTATTTCCTCCCCCGCCACGTCAGGCACATAGAAGTTTTCCATGTGGGCTTCTCTTCCTTCAGGATTGGAGAGTGCAGCCAAGATGTCTGACAGTGAAGACAGCAACTTCTCCGAAGATGAAAGCGAGCACAGCAGTGAGCCTGAGGAACTGGAGGAAAATGAGGTGAGCTAGGATTTGGGGTTCGTGGTTCCTCTTTCCCTTTGCCAAGCTGGTCCTTGAGAACCAGCCCTTCCCCCTCCCTCTCCCCCTAGTAAAACTGCTTCCACTGAACTTTGGTTTGGCCGGGCAGTAAGTCTAAGCTTCTCCCTCATGCATGCAGACAGAAGAACGGGGCAGCATTGTAGGCAGTGAGAAAGAAGAGGTTGAGGAGGAGGAAGAGGAGGAGGAAGAGGAAGAATATGATGAGGAGGAGGAGGAGGAAGATGACGATCGGCCTGCCAAAAAACCCAGACACGGAGGCTTTATTTTGGATGAAGCTGGTAAAAACTCCACATATCACGCTCTGCCTTAAGGGTTTGCCTCTGGGTTTGGTTCGTGCAGAATGTACAGAAAGGAACCAAGTTCTTGCCGTTGCTTATTGTGTGGGCTTCCCCCATTCTCTTTTTTTCAGATGTTGATGATGAGTATGAAGATGAAGATCAGTGGGAGGACGGAGCAGAGGACATCCTGGAGAAAGGTAAGGCCGGCCAGCTTCGTGTGCTGATATCTGAGATTCGGATAGCTCTAGATATCTGGGCAGGACAAACCAAGACCGTGCAAGTGTACAAGTCCGGCATAACTTTTCCTTCAAGTTCCTCCTGCTGATGAGGTAGCCTGTTCCTGTTCTCCTTCCCCAGCCGGGCATTCCCTAAATCTGCAGGATGAAAATGTCCAGTGGTGGCTGGTTGGGAATTCTGAGAGCAAAAGTCTAACCTGTCTTGTGGGGTGCCTGGCTGAGGAAAGTGGTCCTACACCAGCTTAAAGAACTTTAACCAACCATCTTTTAAATAGGTTTCTTTTTCTCTAATATTACAGTTGCGGAATGTTTCCCCGATTTCCTGTTCAAATGCAGTTAAAATTAAAATTTAAAGTCTGTTGACACCTTTCCAAAGTTTTTGTGTTTTGCTTTTTCCTATCAGAGCTAGAAACAGTCTCTTCTCCCCACTCGGAATGTCTGCGATCTCTTTCAAACCTGTAAAGCAAATGCTTCTATAAGAGTTGTGGACTCGAGGCTTGGTTAAAACTACAAATGAGTTTTTGGTGGCGGAGATGCACAAGGGTCTGTTTCATTTGGTAGCTGATAGAATGAAAGAGGCAAATGAGCCTCTGACCCCCCGCCGCCCCCTTCCCCGGGTCCCAAGGCTGCCCCGCCTCTTGCCAGCGCTTCCTCCCCCCCCTTCTCCTTTGCGTTTCTGTGCATCTCATTCGCTTCTGCTTGGTTCGTGCCACATCTTAATTTTGTTCCTTCCGCTTTTCTGTTCCCCATTCACCTCCACCCTGTGGTTGGTTTTGATGGTATTATTTGGCTCATACTGTCCGCCTTTCCACCACCACCTCCTCCTGAGCAGAAGAAATTGAAGGTAAGACCGGTTTTTGTTTTTATCCTCTCCATTCCAGCTCCTCTCCTCTCCACCAGCTGCCTTCCTTCTCTGCTTCTTGTCAGCCAGGTGGGATTTAATGAATGGGGCCACAGGGTTGGGGGTGGGAAGAGCACACCACCCACGGGCTTAGTTGCTGCAGGTAGCGCAGGGGTCTTCCAGGCAAAGGGTGTCCGATGGTCCAGGCAGTCAAACGCTGTCTGTAAGGTCTGCCTGTCAGGCAGCAGCGGCCCCACCTGAGGCTGTGGTTGGGGCCTGGCGGGTCATGGGCTTGACTGCCATTTCATACAGCATAAATCTCTGCGCATAGAAAAAGAGTCTGGCTTCCACCCAGTTTTTTCTCTTTGCATGCCCCTTTTCTATGCGCGGGAACTCTGGGTGAGCAAAAGTCCCTTCTGTCTACCTCACAAGCAGTATCAAGCCTGCTGTTGCTTTTCCGCCTAAAAGCCTCCGTCTCCCCAGAGTGTCCTTATCAGGGGGCCATTGTAGCATCAGTGCATAGAAACAGGGCAGGCCCAGCTGCAGTTATCAGTAGCTTGCTGGGCCACTGCAGGGGCTGCAAGAGTTTCTCTGTCTTTTTTTTTCCTACCTTCCTTATTTCCTCCTATTTCTGGGCTTTTTCGTTAAGCGTTTTGGAGTCCTCAGAGAGCAGTGGGCTGTCCCAGCCACCAAACTTCACACCTGGAAGCTGCTGGCCTGCCTTCTCGGCTTTCTCCTCAAATTTGCTGGCCCGCGTCACCCACTGCCTCTCTGCTGCACCTTCCTCTCCTGCCCTTTGCAAACTCCTGTCTCTCTTCTTAGCTTCCAACATCGACAATGTGGTTTTGGACGAAGACCGCTCGGGAGCCCGAAGGCTGCAGAACTTGTGGAGGTAATGGGAGAGGGAAGGAGAAGGAGGGGATGGGGCACAACTGCCAATAGGATCCTGTATTTCAGTTCGTAATATTCTCTTCTTACATTAAATAACACGGCTATGGAATATTTAGACAAGCCATTTAAGTGTTGGCTACTGTTTCCCTCCAGTTTGCCTTTGACGTACTGGTGTCAGTGGCTTGAAAGAGTCCTTGGTATCTTGGTCTTTGTAATCTCTGGTAGCTTTCCCTGCTTCAAGAGGCTCCAGTCAGGAAAGGCTGATCCCATGCAGTGGCCTGAGATAAGTGCCAAGAGATTTCCCAAGATGAATAGCAAGGGCTAGAGGCTGCAGATTCTTTAACATTGAGTGTGAGATGTTCCCTGGATAGCCCAGATCTTACAATTCTCACCAGCCTTCTTATGACTTTCAACATAAATCCAGTCTCACCTGGTAGCAGAACAAGTCATGGCAGTTCCTAGCACAGCAAGGGAGACTGGCTGCTATTATCTTAGCTCTGAAGTGACATCCGGACTGTGCTCTTTGTGACTCAGTTTTCTCCCTTCCTAGCTTGGCTGTCTACTGCATTCAAGGCCCAGCCAAGTCTTTCAGTTATTCATTTCACAATATTTATGTATTTACTCAATTTATATGACCGCCCATTGTATATGCATGACTCTGGGCAGCTGACTATTAAAACAGAATAAAAACGCAACCAAAAATGATAAACATAAATAACATAAAATAGCAGCCAAGAACACTCACGTATGTCTATGCCTCCTATTCATAGCTGTTGGGGGGCTTACAACAACATGGTTCGTTGCTCATTATATGTTTCCCTACTTTTCTGCTCCCTCCCCCACTTTCCCCAGGGACCAACGAGAGGAAGAGCTGGGCGAGTATTACATGAAGAAATATGCCAAGTCTTCAGTGGGCGAGACGTGAGTAGAGGGCAGCTCCCCTGCCGAGAGTCCCCTTTAGTTCCTGATTGCTGCCTGCTGGCCAAGTTCTCTGTGTTTTTCCAGTCTCAGTCAGTGTCCATTTTTCCTTTGGTTTCTTTAGCGTGTATGGCGGCTCTGACGAGCTCTCAGATGACATTACGCAGCAGCAGTTACTGCCAGGAGTCAAGTAAGGGTGCATACTGTACATTTGGGGTTTGCAAGGAGAATTTGGAGGAGAGTTAAGGAGCAGAGGGCAGCGGTGGTGGCTGAAGCTGCCCAGCCAAGATGCCTGGAATCAGCCCAAAGAGCAGGAACTCTTGTTGGATGTGACAAACTGATCTTACAGTGCTTGTTTTCCTCCAATACAGGGATCCCAACCTTTGGACTGTGAAATGTAAGGTATGTCCTCATTGGTCGAGCATTAACTGGTTAGCATTAACTCAGTTATCCTCATGAAACAGGCTACTTTGACTTCACATCAGGTGGCACACCCTGCCATCTTGGGGCCATATTCATACTGTTGTTTCTCTTGTGTTCCCCCTGCCCCGCTCAAGATTGGAGAGGAGCGCTCCACTGCTATTGCCCTGATGAGGAAGTTCATCGCCTACCAGTTCACAGACACAGTAAGTTCCTGGGAAAAGGAGGACCTTGTTGGTCGGGCTTTTCTTTATCCTTGGGATTGCCCAAGGGCCTTTGGATGTGGGAGACCTACTGTATGTCCATTCATCATTTCCCTGAGTCTTGGGCAGGGGCCATCAGACCTTTCTTGGCCTGGCTGCCCAACCATTAAATTAGAAGTGGCCTTGGAAGAGAAGTAGAAGTAGAAGAACCTGCCGTTTCATGTCTGGTACCTTTTGCACCTCTCCGGTGATAACTGTGGGGAAAGCTTCTTGCTGCATTTCTTTAGTTCCTGCCCTGGCCCATACGTTGTGTAACTTCTCCTCCGCCCTGCTGGTCTGTCTTTGCAGCCCTTGCAGATCAAATCAGTGGTGGCTCCTGAACATGTGAAGGGTTACATCTATGTGGAGGCCTACAAGCAGACCCACGTGAAGCAAGCCATTGAAGGGGTAGGCAACCTCCGCATGGGCTACTGGAACCAACAGATGGTGCCCATCAAAGAGATGACCGATGTCTTGAAGGTGGTGAAAGAGATGACCAACCTGAAGCCCAAATCCTGGGTGCGACTCAAGAGGGGCATCTACAAAGATGACATTGCTCAGGTGAGCCCAGTTGAGATCAGACTTCACTGTTCTGAAATTTTTCAGAGGGAAATTGGATAAAGGGTTTAACTGCTTTTGAAAGGTGTTTCTGGAGCAGGGGTGGAAACATACTGGGTAAAAGGAAGAAGTGACAGGATTTGTAAGGGATCTGTTTTGATCTCTTTTCAGCAGCCTCCTTCCCATCACAGCACCCGCCTAGGTCAGCATGACTAGTTTCAGAAAGTTGTTTATATCAAGTGGCACCCATCTGACATTTCTTTATTGTTTCAACAGCAATGTTGGTATATATGAAGCTTGGCAAGATCGCATAGGCAAAAGTTGGGAGAATCTCCCCCATCTCAGGAATTTCCAATCTGAAATAAAAAAATTATGCTCAGAGCAACCCAGTGAGATAGATTTGGCTGAGAGAATCCCAGCCTCAAAAGCTTCACAGTTAAGGGGAGAGTGGAACCTGGAGCTCCTAAAGTCCTAGGAAAAGAGGTGTGCTCTGGGTGTGTGCAGGCAGCCCAAGTGTGCCGGCCTCCCATTGCAAGGTGTACCTTCCTGCACGAAGGAGAAGAGATGCAGTGCTTGGGTTGCCGGGAAGGGACGCGGAGGGTTAGGGTCAAGACCCAGTAGGACATGCCCAGGAAGACCTGCCTTTGAGAGAAGGGAAAGGCCGCCCTGGCAAGAATGCCTCAGTCTTGGCCAGTTGACCTCGGGTGGTGAGGGAGAGCCCCGATGCTATCTCCCATGCACAGGGAGTTGTCCAGGCAGAGCAAGATGCCTGTGACTCCTCAGCGGGCCGTGACGTATCATTTGAGAGTCCTTGGCGTAGGGGATGGCCGCTTATAGATGCGTGACCAGGCTCGTCTCCCTGGACCGCACCTTGCCTTCTCTGTTGGCCATTGTCCTGACGCTGACCAAAGCTGCTTCCTTGTCTTGTTCCCCGTAGGTCGATTACGTGGAGCCAAGCCAGAATCAGATCTCTCTAAAGATGATTCCACGAATTGATTTTGATCGCATCAAAGCGCGCATGAGCCAGGTACGTTGTGTACGCCCTCTTACAGGAAGTCCTCTGGATTTAAAGACGTTGGGCCTTTTCAGTATTTTGCTGGGCCTTAATTTTTCCCTGAGAAGGGCTCTCTTGATCATTTTTAACATTTGGGCACATTCGGGGTCGAAACAGTTGCCTGGTCCTCAGTTTTATAATACGGTTCTAGTAGTATTTCAAATATGGGTATGTTCTTCAGTCCATCCTGAAATAATTCCCAACTCAAGCTCCCAATTGTGGCCTATTTATTTATGATATTTGTATACCTGCTTTCTTGCTCCAACTCAAATAAGGCAGTGAGCAACAGAAAAGGGAGAAAAGTAAAGCCAGAACCCTAGGAAAGTCGATGTTAAATAATAAAATGCAAAAAGGAAATAAAGGGCTAAGTTAAAAGCATCTGCTGTAACCCCTTGTCTAAGAACTGAGCATTTGGGTTAGGATTGGTCCAAATCTCTTTCCGTTGCAGAAAGATTGGGTAGCCAAATGGAAGAAATTCAAGCGTCCCCCACAACGTCTCTTTGATGCAGAAAAGATCCGGTGAGTAACTCGTACAGGAGTTGGGGAGAGGAGGAGTTGGCCTTAAGAAGGGGGGGCTGAAGAGCCCAAATCTACTGGATTTCCCAGAGTCCTGCCCCAGCAGGGGCTCTTCACGCAAACCTCTCTCTCCCATTCCAGATCTTTGGGCGGTGACGTGGCCTCCGATGGGGATTTCCTCATCTTTGAAGGGAATCGCTACAGTCGGAAAGGGTTCCTCTTCAAGAGCTTTGCTATGTCGGCTGTGGTGAGAACGGGGTTGGGGTGCTTGGAGGGAGGGGATTCTTCACTTGAGTCTGTGGTGGGTGTTAATGGCCGCCTCCTAGGAACGTTGCAGTTATCTTATGGAATGGGAGATGGTTGCTGTGATCTAGTAAGGATCCACCAGGAGCATAGGCAGAGGATTTCCTGCCTCCTGTTCTGTGTTCCATTTAGATGGAAAGATAAAATAGTGTGCATGACTTTGTATGAGTGCAAGATGCCAAGTGCAACTTACAAAGAGTTCACAGTCAGAAATTCAGTATAGAAAACAACAGAGAGGAGAGGAATGAAGTGGAGGCAGAGGTAATGAAGAAACCAGTTTGTAGTATTGAACATATTTAGGGTTAGCTTTAAGTTAATCTACCTTAAATGATGGAGTTGAAGTGGGGAAGGCAGAGTAATGCCCAAGGCCCCGTGGAAAATATGCTGCAGTTCACCGTAGCTGCCTGTCTACCAACATTTAAAGGTCTCCCAAACAATTTTGGAAGGAAAAGTCTTGAGGATTAGCCCTTATTAATCCTGCATTCCCTGTAGCAATGTTCTGGCCGTGCAGATTCTTAGTTTCCTCACAGAATTGTCAGACAGAGAATGATTTGCCTCAACTGCTTCCTGTGTGGTCCATCCTCTTTGTGGAATCATGATCCTGCTGGTGATACTTGGATTGTCCTGGGTGGCTGATGGCAAACCATAAATGCAGGGACTTTCTGGGGCTGTAGGGCCCACACATCAGTTTGGCGCACATGCAGGAATCAGGGGGAGTGTTGCTAGCCTGGTGCCTGCTCTGGTTTCCTGCCTCTTGGGTCCTGTCTGTGTTAGTTTCCTCCTTCCCCAATTGCTGGCTCTGTTTCTGACTTCAGATCACTGAAGGAGTGAAACCCACTTTGTCTGAGCTGGAGAAATTTGAAGACCAACCCGAAGGCATTGACTTGGAGGTGGTGACCGAAAGCACAGGTGCTTGCCCTGCCTTCTTCTCCTACCTTTCGCTCTTCCTGCCAAGCGGACACAGCCTTCCTTTGCCTGGTCCTTCAGGGATCCTGGGAGGAGGGAGATCACCTGTTCCATGTTTTCAGCTGTGGATAGGCCACCTTTCCGCGCCCAGCTAATGGCAAACTCTTCTCCCTGTTGGAAGGGCTTTAAGGAAGGCCTCTGGGTGATGCTCCTTCACGTCTTCCTCTTGCTGTTTTCAGGGAAGGAACGGGAGCACAACTTCCAGCCGGGAGACAACGTAGAGGTGTGTGAAGGGGAGTTGATCAATCTGCAGGGCAAGATCCTGAGTGTGGACGGGAACAAGATCACCATCATGCCCCGACATGAAGACCTCAAGGTACGGACTTCTTACCATTTCTCCAGCTGTGAACTTCACTGCCGAACTTTGGTGTGGGAGGTGGATCTGCGTTCGGCCCCTTGCAGCAACCATTTGGGCTCGGTTCGGGAGCCCTTCTAGGCCTGCCCGTAAGCCAGGGGCTTCCTCTCTCCATGCCTACGTTTACAAGATGGCTCTTGGAAGGCGATTCCCCAGGAAGCCATTCTTTCTTCAGGGCCTGAGCAGATGGGCACTTCCTCTAGTTCAGCTGTGGGCCTGAGACCAGGCTACCCCTCTACCCCATGGCTGTTTTCTGGCCCTGAGCAAGAGGTGGCTCCTGTCTGGTCTGGAACGCAAACTTGTGTTAACATGAGTCCGTCTCATCCAGGACGGTTTAAATTGGGCTGTCTTCCAGGGGTTTGGCGCAGGGAAGGACCTTCGATGGTATTAGACAGCATACACCCCCATGGCTTCTTTAGTTGTTTTCCTAAATAAATGACAAGTATTTTGGTTCCCCCACACACTCTGCACTAAGGAAACTGCATTTTGCCTTGGGCTGTTATGGGAAGCTTTCCTATAAGTCAGTGTTTCTCAGCCGTAGCAACTTTTAAGATGTGTGGGCTTCAACTCCCAGAATTCCCCAGCGAGCATGCTGGCTGGGGAATTCTGGGAGTTGAAATCCATACATCTTAAAGTGGCTAAGGTTGAAAAGTTCTGCTATAAGTGGAGACACTGAGATTTTCTCTGGAGAAAACTCTGCCCCTGAGCTCTTCCTCTGCAAGGGCCAGACCCTCATTTCCCATCCAGCAAAGAAGACCCAGCCCCAGATAGTGCAGGGAGGGCTTTGCTGGGTATCTCCTGTCCTCCATCTTCCCTTTTGTCCCACTCCCTCTCCAGGATATGCTGGAGTTCCCAGCTCAGGAGCTGCGCAAATACTTCAAAATGGGGGACCACGTGAAGGTCATTGCCGGGCGCTTTGAGGGCGACACGGGGCTGATTGTGCGTGTGGAGGAGAACTTTGTCATCCTCTTCTCTGACCTCACGATGCATGAGGTGAGTGGCAAAGTGACCCAGCAGAGCATATGCACCTTCCTGGGTTGGATGGACATCTTTGTGGCCTGCAAGGATCTTGGAATCTGCTCTTGAGTGGTGGGTGTGTCTAGGAGGCTGCATGGGGGGCGAAAACCTGGGTCTGTCTGTTTATCCCTTTTGCCGTTTGCTTCAGAGAAAGGCCGCGGGTGCCTCCAAAAGTTTCGGATTTCAGCTCAGACTTTGTAATGGCAAGGGACTGGGGCAGCCATCCTGGGGAGCCCTGATGTGACTTCTTCCCCTGCTCCTCTGATCACCTTGTGTGGTTTGGGTAGAGCGAGTCTTTGCCAGGTTCACCAGTTCCAACCTCTTCTGCTCTTGCTTCTTTACAACCTGTCAGTTATTCCTGGCCAAGAGGTCTGCTGGTTGAATAGACTCAGGCTTGACAGTGAAGTTGGTTTCAAAATGGTTACCGTGATACCTTTTGCACGATTTGATTCCAGTGCTGGAGACGTTCTGTATTTGGGGCTTTTAGGTAGACCTGATTCAAAACATTTAAGTACCTTTTCCTTCCACCTCCACAGCTCAAAGTTCTCCCCCGGGACCTTCAACTCTGCTCCGAGACTGCCTCTGGTGTGGATGTGGGTGGCCAGCATGAGTGGGGAGAACTAGTGCTGCTGGACCCTCAGACAGCCGGGGTCATTGTGCGTCTGGAGCGGGAGACCTTCCAGGTGGGTGGGTGTGCTTCCTTCGGGGAGCGAGAGTTCAGATTTGGAAACTCCACCAGCTTGACCCTTTGGCTGCTGTGGGTCAGAGACCGCTGTGGGAAAGGGTCCCCAGAATCTGGCCAGGGGCTCATTGGACCTTCTGCCCAGCAGTTTGGCATGAGCATGTTTCCAAATACCCACTGGTCCAAATCCTGTGCCCTAAAAACAGCAATTGTGGCACTAAATCCTGGTAATACTTTAAAGAGAAGCTTTCAAACGACGGATTGCCGTGTGGCCCGTTTAGGACAGTCAGCCTGCCTGGGTGGCTTTCCTTTGGGGCTCAGAAGGCATTTACATGGCAGTGGAGGTAGCTCTGTCATAAAGGAGGGTCTCTGTTGAAAACCTGGCCTCTCAAAAAAACCTCTTGATGCCCTCCAGAGGTTTGAGGTGCTACCTCCCCCTCCCCCATAGCCAGAGGGCAGCAGCTTGGGAGAGGCTGCAGAGGTGCCAGGGGATGGGGAGGTGGCTGGCACTTCTGGCTTGCCTCGAGCGAAGAGGCTGGCCTCGGATCCACCAACTGAGCCCTCCTTCAGCTGCCGCAGTCAGGCAGAGGACGGACCCTGGGGATGCGACCAGGGCTTTTTCCGCCTCGTCCCTCCCTCAGGGTCTCCCCTGCCATCTGGTTCTGAGCCTCGGTCTCTTCTCCCCACTCAGGTCCTGAGCATGAACAACCAACTGGTGACGGTGCGGCACCAGGCGGTGAATCGGAAGAAGGACAACCGCTTTGCGGTGTCCCTGGACTCTGAGCAGAACAACATCCATGTGAAGGACATTGTGAAGGTCATCGAAGGGTCTCACTCGGTGAGCCACCAGCCGGGTTGGGTGCTGAGCTGGGTCTCCACAGCGGGCGGGGGGGAAGTGTCTCTGGCTGCCCGGCTTTTGCCCTCCCCTGTGGCGTACAGGGCACAGCCAAGGCCTGCGGCACATTGTTGTTGCTCGAGTGCCATGGTTGAGGGTGTTTTCAGAAGATTCTTTATTCGCCTTGTCCTCAAAAGCCCGCACAGTTCATGCTTTTTTTTTTCTGTGCTAGATGAACTCCTGGGTACTGTTTCCGGCATCTAGAGAACCAGAGTTCCTGGGTGGCCCAGGGTGCTGTATCAGTTCACCCACTGGAGGGGGCAGAGGACTGGGCAGGGAACCAGCCAGGAAAACACATCAGGGGCTTTGAGCCCGTTGCTATTTCTCAGCCCAGCATACCTCACAGGGTTGTTGTTAGTGGGTGTGGATAAAATTGGAGGGGGGAGTGCTGTGCACATTTTGCCTCTAACAGAAAGGTGGGTCGTAATTTTAACCAATAGCATCAATAAAATTAATCCCTGGAAGCAGCTGCTGTTTCGGCTTATGGAAGCCAAGAATTCACTTTCGCTCTGGCCAAAGGCGTTTTCTGGCCCAGTGCTAAAAATGCACAAATGGCTCAAGTTCTGTAGTTCTGTTTTTTCTTGATTTGCTGTGGCCACATAAGAGGACTTCGCCTAGAGGAACCTTTCAGTGCGTTGAAGCATCTTGGCCTCTTCCTCTTTGGTGACCCTCGAAGCACTCAAGATGAAGGGCGGCACCAGGCTGGGAGAAGGCTTGAGGTGGGCGGTCCGTGCCACTCTGACACACATACACACACACCGCATAACTTGGAGCTTCTCTGCCTCCTCCAGGGCCGCGAGGGGGAGATCCGTCACCTGTTCCGAGGCTATGCTTTCATGCACTGCAAGAAACTGGTGGAAAACGGGGGCATGTTTGTCTGCAGGACGCGCCATTTGATTCTGGCGGGAGGCTCCAAGGTGAGGCCACATCTTCTTCCTCTTGCCTCGAGCAACGTGTGAGAGAGACGTTGGTGCCGCTTTTTTGAGGGTGTGTAAATTCAAGTTTGAAATTGTCCGGGGCTAAACTAGGAACCAAGACCGTGGACTCCTGGTTAACACTGAAGCGGACGTAATAGTCATGAGAAAAAGAAAGCAACTCTTCTGATTAGTGAATTAGACTGAAGTGAAAAAATAATATGGCAAAAACAACACTATGAACGCAGTAGAGATCCAGCAAATGACTAACAATATGCCATTTTAAGCTGTTGCCAGCACACACCTCCCTGAGGGCTAAAGTCATGAGAAAAAGAAAGCAACTCTTCTGATTAGTGAATTAGACTGAAGTGAAAAAATAATATGGCAAAAACAACACTATGAACGCAGTAGAGATCCAGCAAATGACTAACAATATGCCATTTTAAGCTGTTGCCAGCACACACCTACCTGAGGGCTAAATCAAATACACTTGAAGTCATGTAGCTTTTAGAATAATACTGGCAGTGTCCATGGAGGGCGGCAGTAAGGGAAAGGGGAATGAATGGGGTGAGCTATAGAATCAGAGGAGAGTTCAGGACCTTCCCCTATAGGGTAGAATTAATACAAAGCTGTTCAACTCCTTGCTTGCTCAGATTTTATCAGGGTGGGGGGAAGTCAAGGTTTCATTTGTGCATCATCATCACGAAGTGCTGTTACAGGGGAACCGACTTTAAGCTGAAGGTGTTTGTTGTGGTATCGCCCCTGCACTTACTTTGCCTTGTCCAAAGTCACCACCCCTCAGGAAGCTTCCGAGTCTCAGCAGAGGGAACTCGTGGGGGGAGGACTTTTCTCTAGCTGGCCCTGCTGGATTTCTCATAGGTGGCCTGAAGTTGGCTGGATCCTGTCCTTCCCTAGAGGCAGTCAGGTTGGATCAGTGTGAGGTGAGGGCACAGGCAGGCGCTCTGTTAAGCTCTTCACTTTGAATTTCCTTTTTGCAGCCCCGGGATGTCACAAACGTCACTGCTGGCGGCTTTGCACCCATGAGTCCTCGGATGAACAGTCCTGTGCATCCCAGTGCTGGAGGTGGGTAGTCGGGAGAGAGTGATCTTGCGTCTGGTGGGTTCCCCACAACTCTTCCCTCTCACCAGAAGGGCAAGTCCTGCCGTAATCCAGCAGCACCAGAAGAAAGAGAAACGATGAGTGAACAAAAGGAGAGAAAATGGCAATGGAGCCATAGAAGGAAATTAGTGCTTTCTAGGATGAATTGGCTAAAGGTGATTGAACCTGACATCACTGGGCAAGCAAATCCGTTAGGTCTGATGTGGAGGCCACTGCAGCTGAATCTTTCCCACCCCTCTGAACCGAGAGTCCAGTTCCATGTGCAGAGCCCATGCCCAGCCCCTGCGCCAAGGTCCCTCCCACAGGAGCAATACAGTCGGTGCCTCTCCAAGATTGACAGGACCCATCAAATTGCAGTGGTCTCTAAAGAGGAAGAGAGGGAAGAAGTTAGATTGGCTGCCACAGCAGGAAGACGGTTTTCCCCCCGGGGTTGCACCAGCAAATGTCCTCAGCGAGGGACCCCACGCACCCATCTCCAAAGGATCTGTGTGGAAACGTCCTGCCTATTTGTGCACCCGCTTTTTCCCTCCGCAGGGCAGCGTGGTGGCTTCGGAGGGGGTGGAATGAACCGAGGTCGTGGGCGCAGAGATAATGACCTCATTGGGCAGACGGTGCGGATTTCTCAAGGTCCTTACAAAGGTAAGATGTCACCACTGCTTCCCCCCGCCCCCCATGGCCTGAGTGCTCATCACCCTTCTGATGGGGCGCAGTCAGCTCGAGTTGTGTGGGATTTTTATTAGTCTTCAAAGTTGTCTTCAGGCATCATCCTAAATGGTGGTTTACATCGCCATGGAGAACCGGTCTGCTACTTCCCTTCTAGGTTTCAAGAGGGCATTTAAGACCTGGCTGTTCCATCAAGAGCAGATGGAATATTTGAATTTGGCACACGCGTACTTGGTACAATGCTGATGCTGCAATTAGTTTATTTTACAGATAGGGAGTTTTTTTGAGGAGGCTTTGTTTTTGTTTTAAATTGGTGATGTGTCTGCCCGGAGCCTCTGGAAATGGGCAGCATACAAATTAAGTAAATAATGGCTGAATTCACATACTGTGCTAAGAGACAGGTGTGAGGCATGAACCCAACCAAAGAGCTTTACCAGCCCTTGAATACCATTTAAGAGAGATCGCTGTTTAGCCTGCTGAACTCTCATCTTTGCTCTTGGCAACCCAGTGGTAAAGATTAAAAGTTGGGGGGGGGGCGTTATGTGGGACAGGCAGTAAGAACAGAGAAGGATCTCCTGAACCAAGAGGTGAGCTAGGATGGCCCCAATCTGAGGAGGGCCTTCATGCCTTGCCCTTCCTGCCTAAGTAAAAACTGTATGTGGTCATGTCAGAATAGGCAGCGCTAAAAAGACCCCGAAAGCTGGTTTCGTTTAAGCTTTTAAATGAACTGACGATAGAATGAAACACGGGGTTTTGTGGGTATGGATTTATTTGTTGCTCTGATAGTCCACGTGACTGTGGAGCCTCTGCCTCTGCCCTTGTCTCCTCCAGGCTACATTGGCGTGGTCAAGGATGCCACAGAATCCACAGCCAGGGTAGAGCTGCACTCCACGTGCCAGACCATCTCGGTGGATCGGCAGCGTCTCACTATAGTGTAAGAGCCGCCAGGATGGCCTGTGGGGAGCCGGGTTTGAGATGGGGAGGGAGGGAGAGGCCCCTGCTCGGTTTTGCAAGTCCTGTTGCTCTGTGCTAGACTCAGAAACCAGCAGAGCAGAGTGGGACGCGCCAGCTTTTTAGGACCTAACTCAGTCACGTTCCTCTTCTGATAGTGATTCCAAGAAATCATCTGGCTTGCCCTCTGGTTATGGGCGTACCCCTATGTACGGCTCCCAGACTCCTATGTACGGCTCAGGCTCCCGCACACCCATGTATGGCTCCCAGCACGATGGTGAGTAGCGGAAGGAGGGTGGGCGCACTTCTCCTTCAGGAAGAGACCTCTGTTTTGCCAAGAGAAAACTGGTTTTTCTAGCATCCTGCCTCAAGAGCCTCTTCCACCATTAGAATATGTTGGGACGACAAGGCCATTGAATCCAGCAACTTGATTACATTGCATGCAGGCAGGCTGCTGGGGGTAATACCCCGAGTGTTTCAGAATTTGTAGCACTGGTCCATAATGCGCCCTTCCCCAGCTTGGTGCCTTCCAGATGCGTTCTGGCTGCAGAATTCTGGGAGCTGCGCGCTCAGCCATCTGTGGGAGGAGCAGTCACGACACAACTTTATCTGCCCTAGCAAGATGGCCTTTGTCACGGGCAGCCATACAAGCCACAGGGATGTCGCCTGTGTCATGGCGTGAATTATATCCTTTGCATCGCTAGTGCGATGGTGTCACGTGGCTCCCCGCCCCATTGGTGCCCACCCATGATCATTGTCCACGCTAGTGCTGGGTGCTACGGGTTGGGCTTGCAGATTTGGACAGCACCAGATGGATCAAGTCTGATCTGTGTCATTTGATGAGCCAAATTATCATTGGCGGGTCCTAGCTATGATTTGAAGAAGCTGAATAAGTGTCTTGAAAGAAGAAGATCTATATAGGGCCTTGCAGCAGAATAATCGGTAGTGATGATGAATAAACGTTGCAAAAGAAGTGGGGTCTGGTTGTGGGATGGGCCCAGGATTGGTGTAGTGTTAGAAAATTCAGGCCTTCTCTCCTGCTGGTTTGGACTGACTGGTTCATTCAGTCTGTCTCCCACCTTTCCGTAGCAATGAATATTCCAAATGGGGTTTTGATATCTGAGGGGCTTTTGTTTTTCAGGAAACCGGACGCCTCACTATGGCTCCCAAACACCCTTACACGATGGCAGCCGGACACCTGCACAGAGCGGGGCCTGGGATCCCAACACCCCTTCCAGGTTGGTCCTCCTGTCTGGTGAAGACAGGGATGGGGGAGTCCAACCACAGAGCCTTGGGGCTGAATTGAATACTTGGCTTCTTCTACAGGGCAGAGGAAGAGTTTGACTATGGTTTTGATGATGAGCCCACGCCTTCTCCACAAGGCTATGGGGGGACTCCCAACCCACAGACTCCAGGCTATCCGGACCCTTCTTCCCCGCAGGTTAACCCCCCGTACAACCCTCAGACGCCTGGTACTCCAGCCATGTAAGTGCCCCGGAGCTGAAATCGGGACTAGATGGTGGCCAAAGCATTGGTTTGCTAACCCAGGACAGGCACCCACGCCAAGTCAAGAGCCCCTGCAAAGGCTCAGGGACCATCCTCTTGCAGCCATGCTGGGCTTAAATAGATCTCTCTTTGAGAAGGAACACTTGATGGTCTCCTTTATAGCTGCTGATTCTCTGACTGTACTAGATCTGTAGTGATGGGGAGGACGTGGGAAGAATGCTGACATGACCTTTTCTTTATACCTACTCCTGAACAAAGCCTCTTGTCTTGGTAAAGGTATAACACAGACCAGTTTTCTCCGTACGCTGTCCCATCCCCTCAGGGGTCCTACCAACCGAGTCCTAGCCCTCAAAGTTTCCACCAAGTGGCGCCTAGTCCTGTGGGCTACCAGAATACCCACTCACCTGCCAGTTACCACCCAACTCCTTCACCAATGGCTTACCAGGTATGGTTGATGAGGTGTACCATTGGAACTTCTATCCCTCTGTGCCTTTAAGGCCATAAATATTCTCTTTATGCATGTGCCCACTGACTTCACTCAACATGCCCTTTTCGGAAACCTAAAAGTTGAGTTGCCTCTGTTACTGTCCCCTGCCACAGCCAAGTCTGGACTTTCTCATTGGGTCTCTCTCTCTCTGTCTTGCTCCAGGCTAGCCCCAGTCCTAGTCCGGTGGGCTACAGTCCTATGACCCCAGGGGCTCCTTCCCCAGGAGGTTACAACCCTCACACCCCAGGCTCTGGGATTGAGCAGAGCTCCAGCGATTGGGTCACCACCGATATCGAGGTTGAAGTGCGTGACACTTACCTGGACAGCCATGTGGTGGGAAAGACCGGAGTCATCCGCAGCGTGACCGTAAGTGGCTGGACAGATGAGCCTGTTTGCACAGGATGACTAACAAATAGCCAAGGGCATCAGAAGGTTTGGGGAAGGAATCAGTATTTTGTCCTGCAGAAGCCTGAGTTGGAAAACTTGGTGAGGAAGTGCTGGGAGGAGGGAGATTTGCCAGTGATGGTTCCTGCATTGGTGTCCCGTTTCCTCTGAGTTGAGGGTTGTAAATTCAATTAATCAAGAAGGGACCTTCCGTTGGAACTCAGTGCAAAGGCAGCTTAGAAAGATCTCAGCGCAGGCTGAATTCTTGCAAAGCCTCTTCAGGCAGTGTCTTAGCAACTAGCCCCTAGTTCTTGTACATATTTACGGCTACCACCGTATCAACACTGTTGATCAAGAAGAGGGGTGGATTCCCCCAGAGCTGAGGAGGGATGATCATCCTGTCTTCAGAATTAGGTAGGCTTTTCTGTTACTGATGCTTGCAGCTTGTCACCCTGGTGGTTTTCTTTTTCTTTCCTGCCGCCCTTCCCTCCCTATCTGCCCTGTTAGGGTGGGATGTGTTCAGTCTACGTTAAGAAATGTGAGAAGGTAGTCAGTATTTCAAGCGAACACCTGGAGCCTGTGACACCGGCCAAGAATGATAAGGTACGTAGAAGGGCTAGTAAAAAGCTTTCTCCGCCTGGCAGCCCTCTTTTCAATACCTTTGTTAGAAAATGCATGGCACTCTACCTTACAATGTAGAATGATCCTCCACTGGAGTCCTGCCCATGGGCCCCTTATTCAAGACCAACCATTATGCCCAATTAAGGGGAGGCGCTCATCAACCGTTGCCACTGAGGTCATCACAGGGGCTTCTTGGAGCTGTAGGCCAAGCATCCTGGTGGCGTCAGGCTGCCTGTCCCTCGTCCAGGTGCTGCCACAAGCACTCTTTTTGGCAAGAGGGTAGTCCTCATGATGGCAGGAAAAGCATGTGGAAATACCCACTCAGGTCATTTTGACGCTGAAATGAGCCGTTCCACCTTCTGTGCCATTTCAGATGTTCAAACTTCAGAATGGATTTGTGGTGGAACATTACCTTGAAACATTGCACCAAGCTGGAAATAGCTTGTTTGGGACCTGAATGCTTAATGACAGGCTCTTTTGCTTCTTACAGAGCCTTTTCTAGAGAGGGTGACCATAAACCGAGGAACTAGGGGATTCCTTGTTAGCCTTTCTTTCTCCATCTCCCATTTGACAAAGGTCTTGCAAATGGTTAGGAACTGTTGCTCTTCAGTACTTGTCCCATGTAGTGATCAGGGGCAATTTGAAAGCTTTAGTGTCTGATAGTAAAAATTAAAGAACTTTAATATTCTGTTTATTTTTATTTAGTTACTAAATAAATTTTACTAAATAAATAAATAATAAGTATTCTTTTAGATCATCATTGGTTTTTATTTATTTTTTTATTTATTAAGTTTGTATGGCTGCTCATCTCATATACATGACTCTGGGCAGCTAACAATTCAAAGCAAAACAAAACCAGTAAGCTAAAACAATAAATAATGTAAAATAGCATCCAGGCCACAACACATAAGAAACGTCTATATAATGGATCCGTAGCCAAGAAAGGGGCTCATCCACAGGGCTGGGGCCCCAGGCTCGATGGCAAAACCAGGACTTCAAGGCTCTGTGAAAACCCGCGGGTTTCGTCTGCATTGTTGCTTTCGTGGCCAGGAGTTGTGCTTGGCCGATCCGGAGGGGCTTCCTCTGCCTCCCCTCAACCTTCTAGTAACCGACTTGAGGCCTCTGGCCGATCCTTGCTGGGTCCACCTTGGTCTAGTAGGATGGGGGAGGCCTCGCTGTTAGATGGGCAGCTCTGAGCTTTATCCTGTCCTGCAGGTCAAAGTCCTTCTGGGAGAAGACCGAGAAGCTACCGGAATCCTGCTGAGCATCGATGGAGAAGACGGAATTGTCCGCACAGACCCGGAAGAGCAGCTCAGAATCCTCAACTTGCGTTTCCTTGGCAAGCTCGTAGAAGCTTAGCGGGACGGGTAGCAACCCTGGGTGTGAATAGGGTTTGGTTGTTTTCCTCTTCCCTTTTCTTCCGTTCCTCCTTTCCTTCTAGCCAGCTACCAGCAGACGGCAACGCCACGCCTTTGTACAGATTTGCTCCCGAGGACGGTTTATTTTTTGTGTGTGCGAGTTTTCTCTTCCTGCGTATTTCCCCCAGGTGACTTTGCTCGGGTGGGGGGGCGAGGGACAATCTTGCAGCTGCCTACAAAGCGACTTCGGCAGAGGGGCTGCAGCGAACGGAGCCCAGCGCCCTCCCATCCCCCCTTTTCCGTAGCACTTTATGTCCTCTCCGGCACCAAAACCTCCGGCGTGTAGCTTGTTTTAATAAAACCACCTCATGAACTTCTTTGAACTGTGCCTGTGTGATGGGCAGTGCAAGCGGCGGGCGCCTTCTGCCCCTCCCTGTGCAGCCAGAGGGTCAAGGGATTCGTGCTCTGGGGAAGAGATTCAATATTGTGAATTCCTACACGGATAGTTAAATGTTATTTAGATAAGATCAGCAATACGCGTGGATGCTTTGGCTCTATAATGTTATATGAAAACCGGGGGGGGGGGTGCACCACTTTTTGGAGGAAAAAAAAGACCGCGCCGCCCGCGCCACGTGTCTCACCGTCCCCACGGCTCTTTAACCTTGCCACTTTATGGGAAGACCGGTCCCCATCAGGAAATGAAGGGATCCGCCCCTCCGATTGCTAGCCAATGGGAGATGCGACCGCTTGTTTAACAAGGACCGCTGCGAGGCCTTCTCCACGCCCCCTTGAGCCATGATTGGCCGGCAACGGCTCGCGAAACCTGGGAGGCGTAGAACGCTTGCGGATTGGATGTTGTGACAAATTCCGCTTTGTTATTGGATGAGGCATTCGAGGGGGCGGGCAGCCTGGCTCCGGAAATGTTAATGAAAGGCGGCCAAGCGGGGAGGGCGTCTGGCCGCCTTTCCCTTTCTGATTGGCCGCCTCCTTTTTCCCTTTCGGAGCGCGCGCCCGGCATCCCCGCCCCCTCGCTCCTGATTGGGCAGAGCTGGCGCACGCGCGGGAGGCGCCCCCGAGGAAAGATGGCCGCGGT